CGCATGCACGTGTGCTGCAATCTGATTGGCTGAAACTTTAAATGGCTATATCTCCTTTGTTTTTTGACGAAATTCTTGGAAATTAAAAATATAGTCATGCATTAGGATATTCTACAATATGATAGAGTAAAATCACACGCATGCACGTGTGCTGCAATCTGATTGGCTGAAACTTGAAATGGCTATAACTCCCTTGTTTTTCAACCAAACAGGATGGGATTTAGAACATAGATATATGTAAAGGACTCCTACAAGAAGGTATGGTCATCATGCACGTGCACGCAAGTGCGTGCATTTGGAACGAGTATAATTGAAAATACACCTGAATGAGTGATTTTTATTACTTTTGGACTGAATACTGTAATATATAGTATATTAAAATATATAGATAGTGTAGACAAGATGATATTGTCATAACGCACATGCATTCACATGCCCTTGGGTGCAATGTTAAAATTTGAATATAATTGGTATCCTTCTAGGAAAACGTTGAGTCAAAAATACACAGAGTTTGTCTTATTTAATGAAGCTTACAGGGAATATGGCACCAATAGGGGGTTGGGGAGCGTTTGGGGAACATCTGTAACGGTTCCCGTTACAATTAGCACTAGTTATAGTATAATGTGGAACACATGTTATCGTTAAACTTTAGAAGGTAACACATAACTCTTAAGACACGCCCCCCTTCTTGCTATCAGTCATTTTGAGGAAATTTATGCATCACATCCGGTAAAGAAAGAAGGATTTTTTCGCGGAATTTTAGTACAATACTTATGATTAACAGCTACAAAACCTTGAAAACCCAAAATATTGTTAAAAATTTTATGAAAAATGCAAAATTTTGATTTCTGTGAAGAGGGCTAAAAAGCAACTTCCGGTAATGGAAAGAAATTTATTCAACTGATTTGGAAAAGTATAAGATGTCCTAACTTTTTTGGTACATAGTTATAACCCGTATATAATTTTCACCCTAAAATTAGGATGTTGCGTTTCTATTGATTGTGAGTATATTTCCGGTGTATATTTTGTTGTCATACATAAGAACTACAGTCCAGCTGTTGCTATCAATTTTATTGTGTTCCCCCTTATAAGCACACATGTGCTTATTCAAATTATCTATATCAAATATAACAAGAGGCCCAATGGTCTTAACAGTCACCTCACTATAACACATTGCTGAAGATCATCCATAGAAGTATAAAGGAAAATTAACTGATAGACAAAGCAATGTTGTCCAAGAATTTCAAACTATTCTCGTAAACTACCCTTGGTTATTACCATATTCCATTTTATTTCTTTTTGCTTTGGTTTTATATTTCTATAACGTTTTTGTAAAGTTAAAACCCCTTTCAACTTTCAAGATATTTATCATGATATGCAAAACCCCACATGCTGAAGAAGTGTCCTGGAAATGATAGTCCAACACGTTACCCCTCCAGTCATTATATCAGTGTAATGAAAATGCACGGTAAAAATCTGCACTTTCAACAGTTCTGAGTAATCAAATACATTGTACATACATTTAATTCTCCTGAATATTTAAAGTGATTATTCTGTCTCTCCTTGGCAATTGTCGGCAGATTATATGGACCTAGCAAGATTCAACAATTACATAAAAATGCACATTTTATTAGGTTAGAGTAAACTCAGGCGACCTATTGCTAACCATTTTCGTCCGTCGTGCGTTTACATTTGAACACATTCAGCTTCTTCTCTGCAACCACTCCACCAATTTCAACCAAATTTAGCACAAAGCATGTATGGGTAAAAGGGTACGAAAATTGTGAATTTCATGATCCCTGCCCCCCCCCCCCGGGCCTGAGGGGTGGGGCAAAAACCACTACAATTAAAGAAATCTTTAAAAATCTTCTTCATCAAGCAGTCAGACTGTTTGCATGATTGTAATTAGCATAAAGTTCTCTACCGAAATTGTGAAATTCATGGTCCCAGAGTCAGGGGTGCTAGTGCTAGGGAGGGGCTAAAGGGTTATATAGTGAAAATGCATAAATTCTTTGAAATCTTCTTCTCTGCTCCTGGGCATTAAATAAAATAACCAAGTACATAGTTATGTTGCATACGGCTGCCTCTTCAAACAATGTGCAATTCATGGCCCCTGGGTCAGGGGTACTTGTGCTAGGGTAGGACTCTATTGACTATATAGTGAAATCGCATAAATTCTTTGAAAATCTTCTTCTCTGCTCCTGGACATTAAATAAATTATACATGTACAAAGTTATGTTGAATAAGGCTGCCTCTTCAGAAATTTTGAATTTAATAGCCCCAGGGTCAGGGGTGTTAGGGTGGGGCTCTGGTGTTAGGGCGGGGCTCTATTGGCTATATAGTGAAAATGCATAAATTCTTTGAAATCTTCTTCTCTGCTCGTAGGTATTAAATAAGCTAACCAAGTACAAGTTATGTTGAATAAGGCTGCCTCTTCCAAAATTGTGAATGTCATGGCCCTGGGGTTAGGGCTTCTGGTGTTAGGACAGGGCTCCATTGATGATATAGTGAAAATACATTAATTCTATTACAAATCTTCTTCTCTACTCCTGGACATTAAATATACTAATCAAGTACATAGTAATGTTGAATAAGAATGCCTCTTCCAAATTTGTGAATTTCAGGGCCTCTGGATCAGGGATTCTGGTGTTAGGGTGGGGTTCTAATGATTATTTAGTGAAATGCATGAATTCTTTGATCATCTTTTCCTTTGCTCCTGGTTAATATGCCAATGATCTATTACCTATTTAAGGCCAACATTTATTTTATTTTCAAGTTTACAAACCCGCCGCTCAAAGTTTTGAATTTTCAGAAATAAAAATAATGAAACAATTTTTTCTTTCCGATGTCAAATTTGACTCGGGATCGAGATTTCAAATTTACGAACTCATACTTCCAGTTTTAAGATGGACATGGCGGATAAATAAAGGTAGATCTGCAAAGTTCATAGCAGCATCATAGCTTGGTTTATTGTAAAAATTTATCGATAAGAGTGCCATTCGAAGCGTTTCACCCATTCAAAGGACAAATAAAATACTGACGACTTTGTGTTGCACAATGACACGCTGGTGAGATAAAAGTGTCAGCTGTAAATTATTTTCCTCCCACAGTTTTAAAACTGCCCGTGGTAGCTATTGCCAGGGACAATGTTTAGGTATCTGTTATAGCTCACAGTCTAAGCATCATTCTTCAGAAAAGGATCGCTTATGCATCAGATGTAATGAAAAAAAAACTGTGGGAGAAGTTAAGTTCATTGAGGAAAAAAATAAACAATAGTCTGAAGAAAAATAAATTTCTGAGTAATGCTTTGAAATTTGCTCTTTGATAAGCAATGGTGCCTCTTTCAAAATTTGTGAATTTCATGGCTTTTGGATTAAAACATGAACCAAATAAAATCGCTGGAAAGTTGTTACATGATACTCAGGTGACATATATATAAGGCCCGTAGGCCTCTTGTACATTTGTATATATTACTTCATTAAATATGCAATATAAACTCTTTGTTTTGTTATTATTCAAAGAAAAATAGTTATTCTATATCAAACCATAAGAAAACTAGTGCTAATTGTAACGGGAACCGTTACAGATGTTCCCCAAACGCTCCCCAACTCCCTTCTCGTGCCATATTCCCTGTAAGTTTCATTAAAAAAGGCAAAATCTATGCATTTAAGACGTAAACAACGTTTTCCCAAAAGTATACCAAGTATTTCAAATTTAAGCAATGCAGGCGTGCGCATGTGATTGCATGAGCGTAATGACGATATCATCTTGTCTACACTATTTTACTCATTTTCACGTGCACGCACGTGCATGATGACCATACCTTCTTGTAGGAGTCCATTATGTCTGTCTATGTTCTTAATCCCATCCTGTTTGGTTGAAAAACAAGGGAGTTATAGCCATTTAAAATTTAAGCCAATCAGATTGCAGCGCACGTGCATGCGCGTATTTTCATGACAATTATTATATATCATATTGTAGGACATCTTAAAGTATGCTTATGTTTTAAATTTCAAAGCATTTTGTGAAAAAACAGAAAAGATATTGAGATTTTTGTTTCAGCCAATCAGAGCGAAGCGCACGTGCATGCGCGTGAGTTCGTGCTAATTTGACAGTGTCACATTATCTACACTATTAATATATCCTTATTAAATGAGTTTTAAAATATTTCATCAAAAAATGTAAAAGTTATGGCTATATAAAGTATATCCGTCATTTCACTCATTTCACGCGCCCGCACGTGCATGCGTATGCGCGCAAAATAACCTTCGTGTTGCACACCTACACTACACACCGATTAACCCTAAAAAGGTTTTAGGTCAGTTGGGTGAACAGTTTCTGAGAACACTCGCGGACAAAAAAAGTACCGGAGAACAAAGAAGAAAAAAAAGAATAATAATAATAATAATAATAATAAGAAACCGAGTAAAAACAATATGTTCCCAAACTCCGTTTGGGGAACATAATTTAGATTCTGTCATATTTAAATACATGTATTGATAAATGAAGAAATTGAAAGGGGGAGGGGGCATTTTTCATGTAAACATCAATAACGAAGTGGGTAGTTTTAGGGAATATTTTATCCACCTCCCAACTCTTTGTAGTTGTCTCTACAACCGATAAACTCGCTTGATTAAAGTCATTTGTAAGATTGCTGAAAATTCACTTCAACCGAGTTTATTGCCTACAAAGACAACTATAAAGGGTTGAGAGGTGGATAAAATTTACATATTGGCTACAGAATGTGTTTAGATTTAGGGAGTGAAAGTAGTTGATGGGCCGATGCTGGAAAGTGGAGAAATTCTCTCCAAAATTGCGCAAAAAATATTGCACGATAAATTGCACCTTTTTTGCATTACGGGGTCTTTGGAGTTATGGTCAAAGACTACTATTATAAAACCATAACGCTACAGATCTGCAGCTAATGGCAGACATTGAACAGACAAGGAATACTTTATATATTATCATAGAGTTTTGCAATGAAGCAGCAAAATACTTACATTGGATAATGTTCTGGAAAATTAGGTGAAGTGATGACATACGGAGAAGAAATCGGAATATTGAAAGTTGTGTTACTACTTGTACAACCCGCTGTAAATTGAATGATTTTGTGAATTTTATATTGAAGACGAAGATAAATCTTAACATATAAATGTTCAATACAATTTTTACAAGATCTGTTATAATTGACATTAAAAATAATTTTAAATAATAGAAAAATTAAGTAGTAGTAGTAAACATGAATTTATGCAAACCATTTTTTTCTACATTGATCAAACTCCAAGGTCAATTATATCATTACCTACATTCATCTTTATTAATCAATGAACTTTAATTCAAAAAACCAAGTTAACTTTTTTCAAACAAATTGGCATTTTCTGCAAATCAGGCCGTTCAAGCACTTATTTACTTACATTCATCTATCCCAGCAAATATTTCAAGAGAGAATCCTATGTCCTCGGCTCTTTGAGTCGAGTCTGAAGTGAAGGTGATCCTTGCTGTACTTCCTGTGATTTCGGGTGCTTTTGTGCAGTCAGAGCAGCAAGTAACTTGTCTGGCCGCACCTGAATTCACTGTTAATTTTTAAAATCAAAAAGCATTAAATATTTGAAAGGTGACTGACCAGACAATTTATTACTTAAATCATTATTTCGCTTTTCACTGATTATAACGAGTAAGTACCGTTGGTTATTCCTAGTATGTCGCCATCCCCGCACTTTAATTTTTGCCCAATGACGAGACTTGCGGACGAATCAGATGCTACGAATGTCCATGTACATGATAAGACTCTGTTTAAAAAAGTATTTTATTAGCCTATATTTCCTGACGATTCCTTGAACCTGTTATAAAGAATTTCATGGACAAGTCTCATTTGGATAAATGACTTAAAAAAAAAAACAAAAAACAAACCAACAACAAAACAAAAAAAATGAAAGAACAATTTCAGAGGAAACTGAGAATTATTTTGGAAGAGAAGATTTCATTCTTTTAGTGAAAGTAAAACTTTTTTTACTAAAACTTTTAACATGTAAGCGCTAATACTGAGTGCTACTGAAAATTCATAAAAGAGGTAAGAGACACGCGAAGTCCTTATCATCAGGAAATGTATAATTGGCCATAAATCCTAGTTTCAATGAAGATCAATACATAAAAATGCCTAAAAAAATTGATATTAATTAAAATAATTTTTAAAGAGTCTCGCACCAAATAAAAGAATAGGTCTTCTTTAACTAATTATTAACATACTTTTTCATAGTCGCAAAAAATTAAGTGTACAACTATGTAAATATAATTTTATATAAAAAAAAACTTACGTATCATAAGGTGTGCTCCCATCACCAAATTGAAAGGTTGTGGTAGTTGAACCAATCTGGATAGAACTGGAGGATGGACACGTAAGAATTTCCACTGCAGTAATAAATAACTAAGATGAAATGGAAGGACTTAACACTAATCTAAATTCTTTTAAACTGTCGGTAATTTATTTGAGATAGGAAAGTCTAATGGTACCCCATAATATAAACCTCAAAATATGTTAATGAAAATGATGATAAAGTAATTATACATACACTGATTCCCAGAACTCTCCTTCCATTTTATACAATAGCTTAATAATGTTTTGGAAGATTATTTATTTAGTAATGTGCTACAGATTTAGGTTTATATAGGAATTTACATTTCAACATAGGGGTCATATTGGAGAGGGGTTAAAAAATAATGTTTGATATTTCATTAATTATTTGACAGTGTAAATGGCACTTCGAAATTCCTAATTAAGGGGATAATACTAAGGTACATTAAAATAACATAAAATTTCCTTAGTGCAAGGCAAAATCACCGATGATATCCCCTCTGTCCCTTACATTCATCCAGTTGGCTGAAATAAACACAGACTACAATGCTCTCAAAACAGAATGAGAACTACATGACAAGTAATCTGACACAAGCATCTTGACACCACAAATCACCAACTAGGACGGAAGTAAAAAAAGAACGATAACTCTAACTTTACAAATGTTCTGAATAAAAAAAAATCAAGGCTTTGTAATAACAATATTGTGAAATTTGGTTGTTCATGTCATATGTCAAAAGTTAATCTGCCTCCATCAGAATCTACTACCTACAGTTATCTTGTTACACATCGAACTTACCGTAACAAATGTAATATGGAGAGAAAATTCGGGATTTATTCCCTCTCGAATTTAATTTTCCGAATAACAGTACACATTTTGATGACGCCGGAAAATACCGGGTACTTCCGTCCCAGTTGCTGAATATCAAAACATTTACCCTAGATGCGGGTGCTTTGATCGAAATATTTACAAATCGGGGGCACATAAAAATTAAATGGAAATATGAAAAGGAAGAGGAATGTATAACAAATTTATTAATGTATGCAAAGCCCATGTTTTATTCTGCTTTAGATAGATAATCGAGCGAAGTTTCTGGGAGATGAGGCGGATGACGAGAAAAGAGTTGCAAGCCTTCTCTCTTTTTATGAATCTGTCGAACACGATATTTTTAAAAACTTAACAGCTTATAGACGAAAGAGTTACATAATTGATAATATATAGTGCATATTAGAATACAAAAATAGGAAAAGGGCTAGTCGACCCCAGATTTAAAAAGAAAACAATGGAAAGGGTGTGGGGGCATACCCCAAGTGCCTGTGCCACAAACTAGTCTAAAATAGTACAATTTTAAGGAATTTGATTAAAGATTGATGGAGGCTGGATAAATTTTCTTGGTTGGCACTAATGAAATATGTGGCGTTAATGAAAAGTATTCAAGCTTTAAAGTCCACAAAACATTAGGCCTACAAAATAAGCAGAGCAAAATTGGACCTCTAAAACATCAGAAATGGGATTGGGTGCTAAATGAGCGAATTGACATCCCCTTCCGACCAGTCAAATACGCCGTGTAGACCTTGTTATAATCATGAAATCACAAAAAAATCCATCGGCGATTCGGTTTGTAAACTAGAGGAGCTCACGAAATGATACCCCCGCCTTCCATATGAATATAATGGCAGTGTCCATGCTTTGTATGGGAAACCCAAAATATGTGTCGAATCAAAAAGTAAAATACATGTAGGAGGTGCACAATGGCAATACATGTATGTAATATTAAATAAAGATTCTGTGAGCGTTTTATCAAATTTCATTCAGTGGTATGAGAGGGGTTGCGGATAGGAGATGGGTACCCCAAAGCGTAACAGACGGACGGACGGACATACCGATTACTATATACCCTCCCGATTTTCAAACGAGGGGTATAATAATCGTCAAACAATTACATGTAGTATGAAAAATGTCAGTCAACATTTGAATAAGTCTTGTGTCACGTGATTTAAAAATGACTATCATTGGATAAAAAAGCTTCTATATGTTACCAATTACATTATGGATTATAGTATTTACAGTATAGTACTTTGCAGTATCAAGCAGATATGACCGTTTAGTGTCTATAAGAAAACATTACCAAACTGACACAATAGTTTAAGTAATTGGATATTGGCTTATCCGAATTTTCTCTATTTTCTTAAATTATTAGTATATTTAAATTAGTTTTATATGCTTTGCTTCTTGTACATATTGAACCAGTTTAATTATGTATATACAGATATAGATGCTTGATCTATTCTCTGTTTGAACGCATTGTGAATGGAAAGCTTCTTTC